AGCCACGAGCCACGTGACAAGGTATAGATTAATAGAAATGGATTAATTTAAGGTGTAAGAACAGTTAGTAAGAAGCCTGCCATGGCCATACAGTTTGTAACCAATATAAGTCTCTGTGTTTACTTGGTCAGGTCTGAGCAGCTGTGGGACTGGCAGGTGAAAGAGATTTGCCCTGACCCTGGGCCAGGCAGGAAAACTAGCTACAAATGGCGCCCAGCGTGTTGCAATAGTTTCCACCTAAAACCTGAGAAAAGATTCTAAAACAGAGCTAAAAACAGCTTCCTAATTGTCTGTCTCAAATGAGCGGCAGCTGCCGGTTTGAGCTACTGGTGGGTTCCTAGCGTGCGCGCTCCACCTGCCTATGGTGGGAATGAGGCCTCTGCAAGTGGCACATTAAGCTGCGTGGTGGATTTAGCCTTTGCTAGTACAAAACAAAAAAAGATGTTTCTGGGCTACCCACTGCTTGGATAAAAGCATAGACCCACGATAGCTCCCAGAGCTGGCCGTAAGCGTACCACCGCCATGTTGGGAAGCTGAGGTGGGCGGAGCCAGCAGCCACAGCTGCTGCAGTTTAAAGCAATAGATTCACAATAAGACAGATTCAGATGTAATAGTTTACAATGTGTGTAAAAGATACGTAGGCTTGAAAGATACAAAAAAGGTGATATATACGGTTATAGAAACAAATACATAGTTTTAAAAAATAAAGTCTTTAAAGAGACAGTAAAATTAATATAAAAAATAAGCCATGTAAAGATGAATATTATACAGAGAATCTGGATTGTGTTGTCTTTGGGATTTTTAACTGCAGAAAAACATTTGATTGTAAAAGCTGTTGAGTTATGCCAAAATGTATATTTTAAAGATACCTTGACTTCAAAATTTGGATATAAGGATATGTTGCTTTGGAAAGGAGACTCTGCTTTTGTTCCCACAAAAAGCCAAAGGCTATGGATTTTTTCCAGATTAAGATACATCAGGTTTGACCAGCCAAGACCCCCTGAAAGGTCTCTGATGACACCATGGCCCAGATCCAACATCCAGAATGGTTTGAAGGCAACTGGCTCAGACAATACAGCCTCATGGACTATTCTATAATCCTAAAAATTTTTTTGTGTCCCCATAAGATACAGCGCCCCCCTCCAGCAGGAAGTAGTAAGAGAAGCTATGCCCAAATTCCCAAATTATATATAATTTTACTTTGTTAAGGTTAAAACCTTCCTTTTTGAAAAAAAAAAAAAAAGAAAGAAAAGGGGAAGTGCTGTGGGATGGTCTGTATGTCAAGTGTGTTGCTGATTGGTCAATAAGTAAATCACTGATTGGCCAGTGGCTAGGCAGGAAGTATAGGTGGGACAAGGAGGAGAATAAAGCTGGGAAGTGGAAGGCTGAGTCAGAGAGACACTGCCAGCCGGCATGATGACAAACAGCATGTAAAGATGCCAGTAAGCCACTAGCCATGTGGCAAGGTATAGATTAATAGAAATGGATTGATTTAAGGTGTAAGAACAGTTAGTAAGAAGCCTGCCACGGCCATACAGTTTGTAACCAATATAAGTCTCTGTGTTTACTTGGTCAGGTCTGAGCGGCTGTGGGACTGGCAGGTGAGAGAGATTTGTCCTGACTGTGGGCCAGGCAGGAAAACTCTAGCTACAGTCTCTGAGCCAGATTATTTTATTAACGGTTTCTTATGACTCATCTCTGTATCTATGCACACGAGCACACACACACATACACTGGCGTGGCCGTGGGACTTGCTTTGGCCAGTGAGGTATCACAAAAATGAGGCAGGAAGAGATGTAAGGATTTCATCAACACACTACCCTGCCAGGAACCCAGACTCCACCATAGACTCTGAAGATCAGGAGACTGATGAGCAGATGGACAAATACCCATCTCTCCAGGCTGTTGTAGCCATCCAGCCCAGCAGGTAAGCCACGAGGAACCAGTGTGAGAAACTGTGCTAAGCCAGCAAAGGCTGGGGCGGCTTCTACTGCAATAGGTACCAGACACACCCTCCTCTTCTGGCTTCTTTTCTGTCTCTTTACCCAACCCCACGCCAATTGCAGCTTCCCAGATGCTAAGCCTGTCTATCCTTCGTTCTCACTCACCTGACTCATGCTGGGACAATGCGCTCCCATTTCTGGAACAAGTAGATTCACTTCCTAGGCGTGCTGTAACAAATGGCCAGGGAATGTGGAGCTTAAAGGAAAGAGATGTTTTCTCTCACAGTTTGGGAGATTCTGAGCCAAAAGCAAGGCATTGGCGGGTTGGGAGTCCTCACAAGGCCTCTAAGAAAACAGTTCCATGCCTTTCTCTAGGCACTGGTGTTGCCAATGCTGTTTGGTGTTCCTTGACTCGCAGCCCTTAACTCCAGTCTCCCCTGTTACCACACACTCTTCTCCCCATGCTGTCATAGTGCATCTGGTAAAGAAAATGACCAAGAACCGCAATGCGATCTCCCTAACTAGTCTGTGACAGCGCTTCCCCAGAGGTGCTGGGACACAGTATCAACCGCACCTCTACATTTTGCGAAGATAGAGTTCAACCTACGACACGTACCTATAGTCCCTGCTCCACTCTGTACATTCTAGGGCTTTAAAATATTCCAGCCTTTGCTGTGACAAATCAGTAATCCCGAGTATTTCATCAACAGACATTTATTGAATGCCTACTACTCATCAGAGCTTTCTTCGATACAAATGAATCTGTGTAAACATTTGGCCATACGTTGTTTGGGCACCCTTGCTAGATTAAAATTTAAATTAGGCTCTGTCCTTCCCAATGGTACGAGTTACACAGGAAAACAAAGACTCAGATAAATAAATGCCTGTGTGTGGCGAAATCACGGCCCTGTGCCCGGTTGCCAGGAGACTTCCCAGTTTGGCAGCCTCATACTCCTCTGTAATCAAGAGCCTTCAGCGAAGCCAAAATTGGCCGGCTTCTGTGGGCCTGTTAACGTGCCCACACACTCTGCTTTACGTCTCTAAACACCTGACGTTTTATATATTCCTGTGTTTTTGCTTCCGTCTTCTTACCCCCAACAGAACGTTAGCTCCGAGGGAAGAAGTCATGTATGACTGTCGTTCAGGTCTGTGTATGTTTGCTGTGCTGGGTGACCCTTAGCTGCTCCATCCCTGTTTGTTTGAACATTTCCCCCCCTCATAACCCAAATTTCCAAAGATGTGTTTTCAAGTGTCTCCGAGGGCTGAAACCACAAATGTTCCCAACTTGGGAGATTAGAAACGCTCTTCTCCACCATCAGGTTTTCTGGGTCTGGTGTTGCATAACCTGGTCTTGCCCAGACCTTTCCATTCCTGCCTGTTATTTACTCCCTCCCTTCCTTTGCTTTTCTTGGGTCTCTCTCATGCTCCTTTCCTAACCCCGCACACAGGCGCTGGCTCTTTGATTTGCTTATCTTTAGTCTTTCTCATGCACTAATAACTATGTAAGAGCCACTGGTTTCTTTTTAAGTTCAGGGCTGTCGGCCTCACCTCGCCACCCAGATCAGGTCCTCTCTCTCAGCAAGTAAACCTCACTTTTTTTTCTGGACGTGCTTTCTACTTGGAAAGTGCAAGTAGTTTTGAACCTGTCATTTGGCAGCCTCTGAGGGGGACACATGGTGTTTCCTTTTAGAGGCTCTTTTCTGTCTTCCCTGGGCCCAACACAAAGAAACCACACCACATGCACAGTGGGCGGCCTTCCCTGAGCACTTGCCTGGTACCTGGTGTTGCATGGCCCACTCATAGACATTTTGACTACTCCACATAATAAAAAAGCCATAATTTTATAGATCAAATACTACTCAGCTCCTTCCCGTCCGCCTTTTCTCGGAGCATGCCAGACTCGGCGCTGTTGGGCCTTGCCTTAGGCCTGGGTCATTCTCCCTCTGTCTTCAGTTCAGTTTATATTTTCAGCCGACACCAGCGCTTCACAGCCTCACCGCTACCTGTTCTAAAACAGCCCTCTCCCACCCTCCACTCCCCTACACCTTCTGTTTATTTTTGTTGTTGTTGTTGTTTGCTTTTCTTTTTTGTTGTTGTTTTCATGACAGGGTTTCATTGTGTTGCGCTGGCTGTCCTGGAACTCTGTAGACCAGGCTGGTCTCGAACTCAGAGATAGACTGCCTCTGCCTCCTTAGTGCTGGGATTAAAGACCTGTACCACCACCGCCCGCTGGTTTGTTTTATTTTGTTTGTTTGTTTGTTTATTTATTTATTTATTTATTTATTTATTTATTTATTTATTTATTTATCTATTTATTATAAATGGTCTTACTCGTTCGCTTCTGGCGCTGGACTTTTAAAAACGCCAACAGCAGAAACTTGGTGTGTCCAGCACGGCATTCTGCGAGGCCCTCAAGAACGGTGGCAAGCAACAGGTACTGGATAAGCTTTCCTGAAAAGGATGCATTTCTGAAGGAATGAGTACTTTTGACCTCTGCGAAGTAACCCTGGCAGCTACTTTTGGTTCTGAAAGTGGCTCTGGGAGATAAGACACACTTTCACCGACCTGTGGACCATACTTCACTTGATGAGAACTTCAGCGAGAAGGGTTCAAGGTCACCCCTGGGAGGAGAAGGAAACGGGGTGAAAAGAGAGAGGGGAGAAGGCAAAGGGAGGATTGTCATGAAAAGGTGTGTGGGTGTGGGGTGGTGGTGGTGAGGGGTCCGGCAAGCCAGGGGGGCAGAGGGGACACAAAATGGGGCACCCGGCTTCCTGTTGGGACTGAGTAGGACCGGGCCTGACTCTTAGAAAGGGCTAAGGGTGGAAAAGATAAACACAGAGAAAACGAAACCCAGTCACCCAGAGGTGGCCAAGGGGTGACTAGAAGTAGAAGGGACCGCTCAGAGGTTGCCCACTGGGGAGAACGCAGTCGGGCGCAGCCTGCAGGTTGGGACCAGGCAGCACAGGGCAAGAGGGTCTGGTGATGCCGAGAGGCGCGGGGTGGAGCCGAGGGGAGCGGGGTGCAGGGGCGCGGAGGGGCGGTGCAGCAGCGGGCGGGGCGGCCCCGGTGGCCAGCGCTCACTTCCGGGAGAGCCTGGCGCCCTGGCCACCGCCCGCTCGCAGCTGCCAGCTCGCTGGGGCCGTGGAGCCTGTGAGCGTGCAGGCCAGGCCGCAGCCCAGCGTCTGCGCAGCTCGGGCCGCCGTCCGTCACCATGGGGGCGTCGGGGCGGCTGCTGCGCGCCGTGATCATGGGGGCGCCGGGCTCCGGCAAGGGCACCGTGTCGTCGCGCATCACCAAACACTTCGAGCTGAAGCACCTCTCCAGCGGGGACCTGCTCCGCCAGAACATGCTGCAGGGCACAGGTGGGAGCTGAGACCGAGGGAGGGCTGGCAACGTGCGATCGTCCCGGAGGGGCTTTGCGGGCCGGGGTCGAGGGTCCTGCAAGCGCTCCCCGATCTCGCCCGGGGAAAGCCGAAACCTCCGTGGGCAGCTTCGGGTAGATTGCGGGGGTGGGGTGGGGTGGGGTGGGGATGGGACTAGAAAGTTCAAAGACTGAAGGAAAGCCCTCGGCCTTGTTCAAGGCACACATCCCACCCGGCTGGCAGCTGCTGGGGGCCTAGCCTGGGGAGCTGTACCCGGCGCTACCACGTGTCCTCGTACTGGGAAGGCAGGCTTCGATTCTGCCAGGGTTAACTTTCTTTTCTACACCCCCCCCCCCCCCCCCGCCCCAGTCCCGCCCTTGGTATAAACTCCATGGGATCTTGTAGTCCTGACCTTTCTCTCTTCAAGGTCAAGTATTACTTACTCTTTTTGCAGACACAAAATTGGCTTAGATTTTGATGCCCGCAGGCATTTCTTAGGCACGAAAGTTATCCTTGTGCACAGTTACATAAACGATTGTTGTGTTTCTCCTGCCAAATTCTTCTAACTCAGCATACAACCTAGTCAACAAACCCCACTTTACAACGGACGGATTTGTGGTAAGTTCTATTTTAAGAAAGGCATTTTAAATTTATTTTTTTGAGACAGTGTCATTCGATGTAGCCAAAGTTAACTTTAACTTGAGATCCTCCTGCCTCAGCCTCCCTAGTGAGTGCTGGGATTACAGGCGCCAGCCGACTAACAGCTGCAGGCTGTTTTTAAAAAATTAACCCCAAATGTTTTCTTCACAATAGCGGTTCGTTGACCTTCAGTTCCAAACTCGTGCCTATTTTGAAATTCATTTGAAGCTCAATTACGTAGAAATAATACCTGTTCAAGGTAAAAGAAAAAAAGAAAGGAAGAAGAAAGTAAAGGTCTTGGAGAGAAGGGAAACCAGAAGGAAAGAAAGTAAAAAGCCAAGCTTTGTCTTAGTCCCTGCCCTGTCCTGCTCTTCAGAGAGAAACAATGCATTTCCCTCCGGAAGTGTCTCTTTATGTACAAGCACTTGTGTGCACTCTCTGTGTTGAATCATGTTACCATATATTTACTCAGCTCCCTGTTTTCACACTGTGATCCAGTCCGTCATCCCATATGGCCATTACCCTGTTTGTTTAGCCACCCGTTTGCTGAATCTACCATGATTTATTTTACCTGTTCCCTTCCTCCTGATGGATGTATAACTACTTTGCAGGAAAGGGTGCTTTTTTGTTGTTTTTGTTTAAAGGACACTGACTGTCACATGGGGTGGGGGAATCCACACACTGTTTTGAGTTTCTTTGGTTGGCTCCTCGACACCCCTCGAGCCTGTTTTCCTTCTCTTCTAATGTTGACCTTGAAAAAGAATAAAGGTTGCAGTTAATTAAACTTTATCAAAAGGTTGTTTGACTCTTGCTAAATGTTCTTAGTGCAACAGATTGCAATTTTATGGAGGCCAAACAGTCCCCAGTCCTGGAGACTGCCTGGTTGGTTTGCTGCTATCCAAAGTACAGAGAAAGACCTGCCTGCAGGCTGACTCAGCTCACCTGACTGGGTGGTAAAGAATGCACACTGATTTAGGGAAACACAGACCATTTTAGGAGTAAATGAAGGGGCATTTGAATAAAGCAACAATGCTCCTTGCTTCATTTTAATACCTGCAAGAGTCAGGGATGGCAACTGTAACATGGAAGGGGGAGGGGAGGGCGCAGAGATGTTCAGTAGCTCATTCTGTAGTTTTAATGGGCAGCTCTTTTCTTTTTTAAGACACAGAGAGACAAATACTTTCTTAAAACCTTAAAGATTCATTATCAGAAGTAGGTGTTTTTTGTTTTAACAGGATCGCTCACAGTAGCTTTGGCTGGTCTTGAACTTGTAGCAATCCTCCTGCCTCAAATCTCATGAGTGTTGGGATTACAGACCCACCAGGCCCTGCTAGAAGAACTAAGGTTTGTGAAAGAAGTCTTTGCAGGTCAAAGTTCAAGGTACACACAGGAGGTTAGTCTCTGTTCAGCTGGGAAAAGTTACAGATCTTAGAGGGAAGCCCTGGCCAGGCCCCTAGGGATGGTTTCCACATCTGGCTGATGCCTGAAATCCAGAACTGGCAGGTCCTAGGATGGTGGAGTCACTTGCTCTTCAAAGAAGTATCGCAATGCCTTAGCAAGAACAGAAGACGAAGCTTGGGAGTGTCATGAGATTGTTTTCACAGATGTTAATAGTTTGCTATGCAGAGTATTTTTCACTAAATGGTATCCAGCAGGTCCCGTAGGTCAGGACTGAGAATATAGTCCCATTAAATATTTGTGAAAGGATTGGATATTTCCCAAAGACACAGCCAAAGGAGAACTAATCTTTTTTTTTTTTTTTTTTTTTTTTTTTTTTTGGTTTTTTGAGACAGGGTTTCTCTGTGTAGCTTTGCGCCTTTCCTGGAACTCACTTGGTAGTCCAGGCTGGCCTCGAACTCACAGAGATCCGCCTGGCTCTGCCTCCCGACTGCTGGGATTAAAGGCGTGCGCCACCACCGCCCGGCTAAATGTGTAGCCCAGGCTGGCCTCGAACTCGTGATCCTCCTGCCTCCGCCTCCTTCAGCAAATCCTACCGGCGTGCGCCACCACAACCGGCGAGAACTAATCTTAAAAAAAAAAATCATAAGAAAGGGCCTGAGAATCCAGAAGAGGAAACTGACTTCCTGTGCGTTGGCCTCACCAGGAGACATGGTTGGTTAGCCTTTGGTGCCTTCTTGATTCTTCTCTTTCTCCTGGTTGCGTCTGTGTGCAGTTGTCCAATCGTCATTAGATGCTTTTTATTCCCATTTGTTGTGAGCATGTTCGTATATCATCAAGTCTCAAACTTAATTTCAGGAAGGTTGCACAATTAATTTAAACTTTGCCCCTGCTATCAGCTATTGAATTTTTTTCCGATGCCAGAAACCAAATCTGGAGCCTGTGCATGCTAAGCAAGCACTGTACCCCGGAGCTGGCTCTGCAGACCCCTGTTTACTGGACATTTATGTTGTTAGCTGGTTTCTGCTGTAATAAATACTGCTGGGCCCCCGAACAGCTGGCTGCAACTTTGCTTCTTTTTCCTTTGACTAAATTCCAAGTGTGGCATTTCTAGGAACAAACCATCATGTCACGAAAGTGCTGTTTTCTGATGCCCGACTATATAGTCGTCTAAAATGTGTTTGGTGGTGGCGGGAGGATCTATTCCTTCCAGCAGCAATCGCTTCATTGTTACCCATTTTTGGACCCAGACACCTTCCTCAGCTTTACGTTTGATTTAAAATGCAAGTTGTGGGTAGTATTCATTAAAACACAAAGTGTACGTGAGAAAAACAGTCAGCTCCAGAGAGATAATAATGGCTCTGGAAACACTAGGTGGCCTGGTGACACTAGCAGTTCTGAGACCTTAGAGCACCAACCAGGACAGTGGAGTCAGAAGGTTGGAGTCTGAGACTCACACCGTTACTGTAATCCTCACGCCTTTCATGAGGACACTGAGTGCCACAGAGGTGGAGGAACATTCAGGGATAAACAGCCTTTCTCTACGCACCTGGGTAGCACATATGAAGTTGGTATGCTACAGAATCCATTAGTATGGGCCCAGACAAGACAAGGGTGAGATTCAAATTCATGAACTACCCCCTCCCATATACACAAAACCCCAAATGAAACTAAACAGCATGTTCTGGGATACCAGAGTGGAAACCCAGGCCTCAAGTGCCAATTATATATTCTTTCCACAGGGCAGTACTTCCCAAATTGAGGTTGATGAGGTCATTTTAGATAGACTTTTTCTTTATTTATTTCAAGGTGTATTTGCCAAAAAGAACATATATTTTGTGAATATGTTAGCTTATTTAAAAGGTGTGTTGCTTAAAGGAAACATAGTAATAATTTAGATGTGGCAGACCTAAGGTGAGCATCTGAGTGGCAGAGTCTGGCCCCTTGGTGGGTGCTTCCTCTGTGGTGCCAGACTCGAGGGCTGACCCTTTATCTCATTTAAATATCATCTGTATGTTGGGGGAGTCTAACTCAGTAGATAATCTCGGGTCCCCAAGTGTCCATATGGCCAAACATCGTTGTGTGGATCCACGAAGCATAGTGTGTATAAACGAGACACAGACTGATGGTAGAGCAGATTATTTTTATAATGGTGATTTGTAATAGTCAATACATTTACATGGTTTGGAATTCCAAAAAGACATCTAAAACGAATAATTAGTGATGAGAGCCTTGTAAGATATTTCATGCCCTTGGCAGTGGTGGCGCACGCCTTTAATCCCAGCACTCAGGAGGCAGAGGCAGGTGGATCTCTGAGAGAAACCCTGTCTCGAAAAACCAAAAAAAAAAAAAAAAAAAAAAATTCATGCACACATGACTTGATGCTCGCCTGTCTTCCCTTAGTGTTTCCTGTAAGTGGGAGCACAAATCCATGATGTACAGAACCTTCAACAGTCAACAGTGTGCTTTCCAGGAGCGCTTCATTTCTCCCCTAGCACCGCCTGGTTGGCATGACTCACTGCCATGGAACTGCACCATTTAAAGTGTATATATGTAAAATCCAGTGCACGTAGTATATCACAGTTGGGTAACTATCACCACAACAGATTTTAGAACATTTTTATTACCCACAAAAGAAACCTCTTACCTATGAGTCACTCCCATCCCCACCCACCCCACCCAACCCTCTGGCAACACTACTGTATCTTTCAGTTCTCACCGTCTGGACACGTCACAGAAATGAAATGGGAGTCTGCAGGCTTTCTCTCTGGCTTCTTTCACTTAGCATATTATTTGTCTTAATTATATTTATTTACTTAGAGTGCATGTGCACTTGTGTATATGTGTGCCAGACTATGTATGTGGAGGTCAGAGGACAACTTGGGGTGGGTGGACTGTCACTGTCTATCATGTGGGTCCAGGAATCCAGCTCAGGGTGTAAGGCTCAGTGGCAAGCATCTTTGACCTCTGAGCTGTGTCTGCGGTTCTGACACTGTCTCACTGTGCTGCCCAGGCTGAAGACGAAATCTGGGCTCAAGTGATCCTCTTACCTCTGCCTCCTGGGAGCTGAAACTTGGGGTGAATGCCACTGTGCCGAGCTTGACTTGGGCTTTTAAAGATCCCCTCATGCTGGAATATTAGGACTTGGTTACTTTTTATTGTGTTATGTGGATGTTTTACATTTTGTTTAGTTGATATTTGAATTAGCTTCCTTTTTTTCATTATTTTGTGTCTAAGTCATTTAGAGCAACCTTAAAAAAGAGAAATTGGTTTAGGACTACTGCCATAAAAAGTAAGCTGCTAAATTGTTGTGTTTTTTTTTTATTTTTCATATACAAAACAAAGGGTTTCCTTTTGATGTTTTCATGCATAGCTGTCATTGTATTTTGTTCTCATCTGTCCCCCACAGCACGCTGCCCGAATTCATAGATTAATATTTAATAAAACACCATAGCTGGACCTCAGGAGAATCCTGACCCTTGTCTGTGTGCCCACATACTGAACCATCTACCTAGTGATGGATGGGGGATTTCACTGAAGGTGCTCACAATCACGGTGTGGATTTGGGGTCAGGCAGACACATGGATGTGTGTTAGTCACAGTGGCTGCCATAATAGCACAGACTAGGTGGCTCAGATAGCAGAGCTGTTTTTGGAGCCTAGAGGTCCAAGACCAAGGCTCTGGAAGAGTTGGTTTCTGGCGAGGCTTGCCTTTCTGGCTGTAACCAGCACGTTCTCACTTTATGGCCTTTCTTCTGTGCTCAGGCACTTGCTGTCTCCTCCTCAGTGTTTACACACAGTTTCTATCAGATTGAGGCCCCACCCTATGACTCCCTTCAACCTTAATTACCTTCTTAAAGGTAAATACAGTCTAAATATAGTCACTGTAAGGGTTAGGTTAGGGTTTCAGCATATGGACTTGGGACTGACTACTCAGTCCATAGCAGGATTAGACACATGGTTTCAGGGGAGAGACGGGGAGAGGGAGGGAAAGAGAGAGACACAGAGAGAGAACACACACACACACACACACACACACACACACACACACACACACACACACACACACACACCAGTAAGCTCGAGAGCACTTGTGACATTTTGGGAGCCTAGAGGGAAACTTTTGGTTACCTAGGAGGTCGATGCTGTCTTGCCATAAGAGTCTTTTAAAATAACTTTCCAAAGGCTATTTTATTTAGTTACCTTTAAATAGTCTTTTCTTTTTAGTGTGTGTGTGTGTGTGTGTGTGTGTGTGTGTGTGTGTGTGTGTGTGTGTGTATGTGAGTGCAGTGCCAGTGGAGGCCAGAAGAGGGCATTGAATCTCCTGGAGCTGGAGTTACAGGTGTTTTTAGCCACTCAATGTGGGTGCTGGGACCTGAACTCAGGTACTCTGAAAGAGCAACAAGTGTTCTGAACAGCAGATCCACATCTCCAGCACCTCCAAACTTTAGTGGGTTTGGAGGACACTTTCCCAGAACCCAGGTCCTCTCCTGGACATTGTAAACTGGTGGTATGCTTGTCAAATGGCAGCTGGTTTAGTAACCATAAATTCTTAGTAACGGTAAGTTCATAGTTAGGAATCATCCACTTTTTTCTTTGGGATAGGGCCTCTCACTAGCCTGGAACCTACCAAGTAAGGTAGGCTCTCTGGCCAGCAAACCCAGGGATCCACCTGTTTCTGCTGCTTTATGCTATATTACAAGCTCATGCCACGATAGCAGCTTTTGTTTTATTCGGATTCTGGGGACTGAACTGAGGTCTTCACGCTTTCAAGGAAACATTTACTGACTGAGCTACCACCCTCATTAGCCCTTCTGTGGTATTTTTTTCTAATAAATTTTTTTTAGAAGCTGTAGAAAAGTGAAATATGTAGACATTAGTGTTTATATAGTTGTGCATACTACATGATTAGGAATAGGCTTACTTTATTTTTTTTGGAGTCAGGGTCTCTTGGGTAGGCCATGAACTCTTTGTGGAGCTGAGGATGATCTTGAATGTCTGATCCTCCTGCTTCCACTTCCCTGGGGCTGGGATTACAGGCATGTTCGCCTACCACATTCAGTCTTACGCTGGAGGGCTAAGCCCAGGTTTCTTTCATGCTAAGCAAGCACTTTAAAAGCTCAGCTAAATTCCCAGTCCTTCCCTCCTCCTGCCCCTTATTGTGCTCGTGGTTTCTGAGACGTGGTCTCGCTGTGTATCTCTGGCTGCCTGGAACTCACCATGTGGTTGAGGTTGGCCTCAATCTAGGGGAAATCCTCCCGCCTTGGCCTCCTGAGTGCACCGCCACACCCGTTTGGTTTTGTTCCTTTGAGACAGAGTCTCATTATATAGCCCTGGATGGCCTGGGACTTGATATGCAGACTAGGTTGGGGTTGAACTTGGGGCATTCACACCGTCTTTGCTTCCCTTTGGTTGGTTGATTTTGTTGAGACAGGGCCCTCTGTAGCACAAACGGCCCTCAGCCCTGTATATGTACCTGGGGCTGGTTTTCCTGCTGGTATTACAGGTGTGTGCCACTGTGTCCAGCATAACCTGTGCTTGTAGCAGAAGAGCTGTTAATAATGCACTTTCTCATAGGCCTGACGTCCGGAAGCATCCCATAGAAAACAAATTCCTGAGATCTGGACTAGTTTGATAAAGCAAACACACTCACTGGCTTTTCCCTCTGCTGTAGAAATTGGTGTGTTGGCCAAGACTTTCATTGACCAAGGGAAGCTCATCCCAGATGATGTCATGACTCGGCTGGCCCTTCACGAGCTGAAAAACCTCACACAGTATAGCTGGCTGTTGGATGGTAAGTACAGATACGCAGTGTCCTGGGTATCTCTGCCGCCCGAAGTAATGAGTGCGGGCAGGAGACTGAGCAGTCCGGACTATGGACAGTCATCAGGAGGGCAGTCAGTCACCTTTGAGTCTAATTTTAAAATTTAATCAGTGAGCTGATTAACTTATTTTGAGGCAAGGTCTTATGTATCCCCTACTGGCCTCCAATTTGCTGTGTAGCTAAGGATGAACTATAAATTTTGATCATCTTGTCTTTGCCTCCCAGATGCTGGGACTACAGGAATGAGTGGCCAAGCTTGTCTGTGTGGTGTGGTGATCAAACTCAGGGCTTCCTGCGTGTTAGGCAGGCATGCTACCAACTGAGCTATATCCCAAGCCCGAGGGTCTGGTTTTTTATTTGAAGGGAAAGAGGGTGTTGGACCACATGATTTCTAGACTGCTTCAGATGTAGCTTTAGTTCTATGCCCCCTTTAAAGAATATTCTTTGACTTTTTAAACTTTGGTTGTTTTGCTTTTTGAGACAAGGTCTTATGTAGCCCAGGCTGACATTGAACTTGTGAGCCTTCTGCCTCAGCCCCTCCCACAAGAGCCGGGATTCCAGGCATGCAGCACCGTACCCAGCTGAGAGTATTCTGTGCTAAGACAGGATCTGCACAAAAGAAGTTAGACTGAAGAGTGACTTAAAATAAGCTGTAGACTTTTCCCAGCCTGAGTCCTGGCAGAGTCTCGGGGCAGGGTGGCTTGTAGACGCTGCTTGCTGATGGAGGAAGGACACAGAAGAGTCCTTTAAACACGGGACACTTTCCTTCAAGATCAAAGTTCTGATACCGTCTTGGAAGGGGTGTGCTAACCCGGTCCTGTTTGTTCTCTTCTACTTAACCCCGTTCTCCACCTTCACACGGAAGTCCACAGTGCTGCCCGCTGAGCCCTGCAGCCCAGCTTGCTAGCAGCCAGAGAAGGTGTCCCAGTCCCTAACTGCAAAAAGGTTCTAGACGCTTCAGAAAGGTGAGGTAGGGAATGAACAAAGGGAGAGGCAGGGCAGAATTCCTTACTCTGGTTTATTAGCGCTAGTATCAAGAAGAAAACAGCAACAACAACAAAACGTATGCTTGCCTGTATGTCCGTCAGTGTGTACACAGAATCTCAAGGACTTAAAAATTCTTGAAACACTTACAGACGGTCTTTGGTGTGTAGATACCATGCTGAAGACCAGTGGCTGAATACACCAGGCTGCATATATTTATTCATGACCTAAATGTTGACTGAGTGCCTTCTAGGTACACAAAGCTGGTCTGGGCACTGAACCTAAACAAGAACAAACTCCTTGCTTTTATGGACAGTATATTCTAGTAGAAAAGTTGGGATAAGCCCAGATTCAACGTTGATGTGAACAGAGAGCCATGTGAAGAGCAGGCGGATACTTGCTTCCTTTTCTGGTAGAAAATATGAATACATGAGCCAACATTTTATTCTCAGGTTTGATGAAGCCTTGCTTCTGTGAGATGCTGGGATCTAGAAGTACTCCTGTTGGCAGGCAGCCTGTGTAGGCCTCTTTAGCTGAAGGAATGGGGTACATGGAAGGTTGAGTGTAGATGCTGCCCCCGCACAGGGAAGTGGCAAATTTCCCAAGAGACCAGCCCGTGGCCATCAGTGGAGTATATCTGGGGACTAGGGCAACAGGGGAAGGGCCTGGAATGTGGAATATTTGTCTTTTATTTCTTTATTGATGTACTGTCACAATGGCTTTTCCTTTAGAAAAACTAAAGCAGATGAAAATGTATAAGAGAAATAGAGTCCTCAATGATCACACCCTCCTACAGCAACTACATTTAATTGCCTCTCTTTTTTTATAATTAAGAAATTTTTTGTTCATTTTATATACCAATCACAGATCCCCCTCTCTTCCCTCCTCCCACCCCCCCATTGCCTCTCTTTAAATAGGCATTCTCTACAGCAATAAAAAAAAATACACATCTATCCAAACTTCCATCTATTATTAGATATGTTTTGCCCTATCCACCAAGTAATAATTAATATTGTTTTTCTTTTTGCTGGAGTGACAAATACTTCAGAGAGACAACTGGAAAGAGGGATGATTTATTTGGGTTTTGGTTTCAGAGTTTTCAGTCCATGCTGCTGCCCATGTTGTTTCTGGGTCTTGTTGACAGCGTGAGTGAATCGAGGCCACTCTCTTTATGACACCTTTGACTGTACCTATGAATTAATTCATCAATGGAGTAACAGCCATTTCTCTTAATGACTGGAGCTGCCAACTAGGGACCAAGACATCAACATACAAGCTTTTGGAGGATACAACTTATTACCCAAACTGTAACGTATACATACACATGGATACATGCTGTGATAGCCATTCTTGGTTGTCAACTTGACTACATCTGGAATCAACTAAAGCCAAGCAGCTGGGTACATCTGTGAGGGATTTTTTTCTTAAATCGTTTGAAGAGGAAGACTCACCTTTAATCCACATCTTTTGAGGTGGGAAGACCCACCTTTAGTCTGGGCCATGCCTTCTGCTGGCAGCCTGTGTAAAGGACACGGAAGAAGGAAGCGTTGGCTCTTTGCCTGCCTGCCCTCGCTCTCCCTCTGGCAAGCCCATTCCGTCACCGCCATTAGAACCTATTTCTTCACGATTCTGGCATATACTGAAAACGAGCTGAGACATCCAGCCTCATGGACTGAACAACTACAGATTCTTGGACCTTCTGCTGGTAGACAGCCGTTGCTGGACTAGCTGGACCACAGCCTGTAAGCCATCCTAATAAATGCCATTTTTTTTTTCTATAAGTTCTGTTCCTTTAGAGGACCTTGTCTAATACCGATACAGATTTTTGGTACCAGAAGTGGTTCGAGAGCAACAGAAAGTATAAGGATGACCTTTTTTTTTTTTTTAAAAAAAAAGTAGCTTGAATAACTTTCCAATTTGCCAAAACCCACTGAAGTCTTTCCAGTTACTGAAGCCTCTCCTAGAAGCTCGCACAGTACTGAGAGCCCATGATGTGAACTAGTTTACACACTTGAGGAGACAATAGCCGGGCGGCGGTGGCGCATGCCTTTAGTCTCAGCACTCAGGAGGCAGAGGCAAGCGGATCTCTGTGAGTTCGAGGCCAGCCTGGGCTGCTACAGAGCAAGTTCCAGGACAGTCAGTGCTACACAGAGAAACCCTGTCTCAAAACAAACAAAAAAAACCAAAACAAACAACCAAACCAAACAAAATTAAGGAGACGAATGTATTTGATTATCCTGATTCACCAATTGTGAGAGGCAAAATGGATTTGGTGACTCTGTATATTAAACTTTTGACAATTTGTGGAAAAATAAGGAAAGTGATGCTGGTCAGTTCCTCCTGGCATCTCTGGATAAATTGACAAAGGAAAAGGGTGAGTTCCATGATAAAATTAACCAAGTTCTAGCATCTTAGAATATGATGAAGGACAATGAATTCACTGATAAAATTAACTAGCTCAAGATGTGCATACACAGTCTCAAGGTTTCTATGTGTCCTGGAAGAGAATCTTCTCCCCAGAGGCCACAGAGCTCAAGTTTCAGAAGATCAGCCCAAAGCCCTCGTTATAAGGCTGGCTGAGTTACAGTGAAAATTCAAATCCCAGCCTCAGAGGGTGTTGGTGGTTAGAGTGAGGGCATTCATTGTAAGAATGGGATCCTGTAACTTGGGATGGGGTTGTGTGGGAGGACCCCATTGAGACTGAGAACTTTGAACCCTCAGATTCTCAAGGGTTTATCTCACCTGAGGAAGTAGTCTCTCTACTTTCCCTCAGCAGAAGATGTATTCCCACCCCCAACTCCTGAAATATTGCCTTTTCTGCCTTTGCCTGAAGAAATTAATCCTTCACTGTCTGCTAAACCAGCAGTGACTGGAAATGCCAGGCAAGACACTAGTGATGCACCTCAGGGCCCACCAGTAGTTGCCTCTAGACTATAACCAGACTTCAGGCTATGCAGGTTCCTGGAGATGGAAAATGTCGTCCATGAAGAGGTACAAAGAGCTTAATGAGCTTGCTCATTCATTCAAGGAGAAGTCTGGGGAATTATGTGTGGGAATGCATTTTAAGGGTGTGGGATAATGGTGGAAGGAACATAAAACTGGACCAGACTGAGTTTATTGATGTGGGCTCACTGAGCGGAGATTCGAGGTTAACTATGGAAGCTCGCACCGATGAAAAGGGTGCCAACAGTTTGAAAGGTTGGCTGAAGCATTCTCAAAAGATGGTCTACTGAAGCGGAGTTAGAGGTGCTTGATATCCCCAGGCTTAGTGTTGAGGAAGGGATGTTAAGGCTCAGGGAGATTGCAAGGTAAGAGTGGCTACGCTGTGTAAAAACTAATCCTCCACAATGGGAAGGCCCGGAATACACGCCCTTTATTAATCCTATAACATACAAAATGGGGAGAGGGCACCAGTACATTTGAAGAGCTTTGTTGTCTCCCTTTTCCCTGTGCCAGACCTAGGCTTGGAGACACTGCTTAAATGGTTTAAATGCAGTGGGTTTAATTGGGCCCCAAAGGAGCAGGGCCAGGTGGCAGTACTGAATGCCAAAGGCAAGATGATCACAGTTATCATAATGGGCAGCATAGGCAAAGCAATGTCCATGATGGCCTGGCCCATAATGGGCAGCAAGGCAAAGTGATTTTTACTTATATGGACCTTTGGTACTGGCTAATCAATCACAGTGTTTCCAGGCATGAAATAGATAAGAAGCCTACTGCCTTTTTGTTTGATCTGGATAAGTGGAAAAATTTCTCAAACAAATGAAAGGAAGTCTACATTGGATGGTGGCAAAAGGGAATCTTGGCCCATGAACCAGACTTGAGGCAGTTTGCAGGCCCAGAACCCCTTGAAAGAAAGTATGGACAGGTTCTCCTGAGGAAGGACCTTGATAAAACACATACAAGTGTTGTTGTTGGCTTTTCTCCAGTTCTTCCCCCGAGGGACCTGAGGCCTTTGACAAGTGTAGCTGTACACTGGGAGACAG